CCGCCAGCCTGGGCTGGGGGAGCCTCCACACGCCGGGAGCGCGCGCCCGTGGGGACCGCGCCACCCGCCCCGCGCTCCCCCGCCCAACCCGCAGGGACGCGTGCAGTGCGCGAGGGAGGCTTGGGTCCCGCCGCTCCCGACACACACGCACTGTCCCCGGTGCACCTGCCTTAGACTGGGAGGTGCAATTGCGGTCAGGACTGACTAAGGCAATGCCCCGCCGTAAATCACAGTAATAGCTTCAGACCCGGTTACCGCGTATTTAAAAGCCCTCGTGTTCTCACAGTTTACAGTTTACAAAACACTTGGGCTTGTGCGAGCTTTTGATTCCCTGAGCGTCCCCGGGGGTGGGCGTGGCCTGGCACAGTCCACTATACCCTTTTTAAAGATGAGGAAATTGAGCTTCAAAGATGAGAAGCGATTTGCCTAGGGTCACTGTGAGTTGGTGACAGAATCCGAGTTCGAACCCAGGCCTTCTACTGGACCAGTGCTTTTTTCAGCACATCTTGCTGTCTCGGAAATGGAGGAAGAAAATCCTGCATTGTGTCGGAGTCTTTTCCTTCCACCCCGGAGCCGAGCCGGGCCAGAGAGCAGCAGGAGTTTGGAAGAGGTGACCAGGCCCCGCCAGGATGCCCTGCCGCTTTGGAAGCCTTGGCGGGTTGCGGGCTCAGAGCCGGGCGAGGTGGCTGAAAGTGGCTGCCCGGGGTTGCTGCCACCCTGAGCGCAACCCTCGATGCCCTTAGGGCCTTCTCCACAGCCACGAATTCGATCATTTGCAACAGAAATTGGGTCTTTGGGAATTCAGGTTGCATCTCTGACCCCAATCACCTCCGAGCCCCAAGAAGAAAAGGTTAAAAGGTGCTTGTCTGGTGTGAATTTACCGTCAGAGACGACAGACGATTGAAATGACCCCACCTGTCCCACCAGGTCCCCTAGGATGGCGAGCATCAGTGGGTGGGGAAGCTTCTACTGGCCACTTCTGTCCTCCCATGTCTTCTTTTGTCACTGGGTGACCACACTGCAGAGTGTGAGCACTAAGCATTTACTTCAGCGGCGAATTCTGAGGCTTCTCTGAGCCCCTCCGCCCAGATCCACGTCTCACTTTGCGGTCCCTTTCTTCCCTGCCCCATGGGGTTTCCAAACAATGACTTGGCAATTAATATTGTCTGAGCAGGTAAGAATGAGGAAGAGGAGGAGAAACCTTCTCATCAAAGTGTTGGGGGCTGCTAACCCCATCTGTTATTGAAGAGGTGTCCTTAGAGGCCAGCTCCTTGTAGCTTTTCTCATTCAAACCTTTCTGCCCCTCCCAGAGGTGGCCACCATATTCCCTGCAGACTTTAAAGCTCTGCCGAATTCAAGCCAGCTCCAGTCCTACAGTGAAGATGGACTGGACCACCTCCCACCAAAGGGAATGCACGCCATGTGAAAACCAAAGAAAAGACGGCCCTGGAACCGAAAAGTGGCACCCAGGATCCTGGACGGCAAATCACACACAGAACCTTCCTGAAATACAGATAGGGTACTTTGATTTCTGTTTTGAGAACTCTTTCTCACCCAGTTCTCACTTCATTTTTTTTTTTTTTAAAGATGACCGGTAAGGGGATCTTAACCCTTGACTTT